AGCTTCCTAAGAGCAGTAAGAGCTACTAGAAGGTTGCAGGAGCAACCTTCATATCAGAAACAAGCCATCAGGATTTAACATTAAAAACACCTAGTGGGAACTCATGAACTGCGGGCCAATAGCTGTGGAGCCCCCATGGGACTGGACTAGGCCCTCTGCATAGGTGAAACAGTTGTTTACCTTGAACTGTTTAGGGGGCCCCCTAACAGTGGGATCGGGATCTGTCCCTAGTGCATTAGTGGGCTTTTTGGAGCCCAGTGCCTATGGTGGGACACCTTGCGCAGCCTTGGTTCAGGAGGAGGAGCTTGGGCCTGCCTCAACGGAATGTACCAGGTCCTGCTGACTCCCCATGGGATGCCTTGCCTTGGAGGAGGTGGGAATTGTGGGTGGGTCTGGTGGGGGAAGGCTGGGGGGCAGGAGGAGGGAGAAGAGGGGGATCTGTGGTTAGTATGTAAAATGATTAGAAAATTTCTTAATAATAAAAAAATAAAAAGAAAAAATAAAAAGAACAGTACCACCACTATACTAATAATTAGTATACCAGGACAAGAAGCAGAAAGCAGCTGCATGAGAATGGATGGATGGAGAGTTCAACTAGTGGTTGTCTCTAGCGGCTGGGCAGGTCCAGCTGGAGGCAGGATCAGAAAGAAGTGCTCAGGTAGTTTTGGTTGTACTGCTAACAGTCTCGTGCTTGAATGGTGTGTTCATAGTGTATTCCAATAGGGTAGATCTTAACTTGTGTTCTTGTTACACATATTCTTTTGTATAAAGTACAACAGTGTAATAAAAATCTGTTGCCCAAATAAAGTGTTCATGTTTCAGTATGTGTGGGATTTTATCTTGGTGTAGAGGTATTTCTAATCTTATCTGTAAAAATGTTAGACAGTGATTCATGTCCCCTTCCAACAGATGTCCCATTCCAGTAACATTAAATAAGAGCCTACCACATCCAGTATGTCTCTTAATACCAACAGCAACCCCTAAAATACCAGTGAGACAGCTTTTCACAACCATGAAAAGAAAGTTAACGTTCATGAGCTACTTTGTTCCATCTTCTTAGGAACCTGAAAAGGGCAGGTTCCTTCTTTTATGGATCATCTGTTTCTTTTGCCTTCACTTACATCACAGAATTATGTTTAAAGTAAATGCTTAGCTGGGCGGTGGTAGCACACACTTCTAATCCCAGCATTAAGGAGGCAGAGGCAGGCAGGTCTCCGAGTTTGAGGCCAGCCTGGTCTACAGAGTGAGTTCCAGGACAGCTAGGGGCTACACAGAGGAACCCTGTCTCAAAAAACAAAACAAAACAAAGTGAATGCTTGTACATTTCCAAACAAGTTAAGCAATAGTCAGATAGGGAATCAGATGTCTTTTCTATTTTGAAAACCCTCTAGAGTGGGAAACTCCACAGTTTTCCTTATACCCATCACACTGTAAAGCATAATTTCTTTTCACTAACAAGACTTTGAGTTAAAATAACACGAAAAGCCTTAAATTAAGCATTTTTTGACAACACAGGTCCATATTTTAAGTTAAACTTTGAGGTTTTTATTTTCCACAAACTCACATTTAAGGGATGCTTTGGAAAAAGGAAGGTGTTGAACCCTTTATTTCTTCATTCAGAATATTAGTTTTGACATTTTATAGTTAAAAAAAGAGAGGCACAAAAAGAGGACTTATAACGTTCAACATTTTTCTTTTTAAAATTATTTCAGATCAAAAAAATTGGAAAAACTACTGTCAAGCCTTCACCCAGATTCTCTACACGCTCTCATATTCCACAGCATATAGAAAAAACCAGGAAACTGACACTGGCATAATGTTAGTGTCTAACTCTAAAGCTTTAATCATGCTTGAGCAATTGTCTCACTTTCTCTTCTTCTTTTCCCCCTCTGGTCCAGGAGCCAGTCTACAGTGACAGGAGGCAGTCATTTTTTGTGCCTTATTGGTCCTCCCCTTCTTTATGACATTGACACTTTAGAAAAGCATGGGCCAGCTCTTTGGTTGGATGTCGTTTAACTTAGATTAGCTAGGGATTTGTCCTGATTAAACTCAAGTTGAATCTCTGGGATAAAACACCGCAAGGAGATCTCATGTCTCTCGGGCTTCACATCAGGAGCAGACCAATGCCAGTTTGTCCCGTCACTTCTGGTCTCAGGATTAATCATTAAGTCTGATCGCAGGATCGAGGTGGTGTTTGCCAAGTTTATACAATGTAAAGTTAGTGGTTTTCTCTTTGCAAGAAATCAGTATGGGAGGGAGATTCTTAAGACATAAATAAAGGAATATCCATTTTTTCATTAAAAAATTCCCTACTAGCTTCCCCATCCACTGATTTCTTTCCCTGCAGTAGAAATATTGAAATATTTAGCAGATGCTGAGCGTCTAATGCCATTGTTCCTTCACACCTGCTACCTGGAATTTGACTGTGAGGGACTTCACTTGTTATTTGTGTATTCATTAAATTGTATCATAAATATCATCAGGTTCCCTTGCCACTCCATGGGGAATAATCTGTTACTGTCATTATTGATTTTGAATGACAAAGAAGTTTTGGAACTAAAACTAGAACCACTAAAACTAGCAGCTTAGGTCCCAGTACACCTGGTGAGCTGGAGGAAGAGACAGTTGTAGCACAGATAAGTAGGAGGGCTGCCGCCACTGAGCCAGGACTATGAAGGGGAGCACTGGAGGTCTAGGAGAGTCAGGGCCCAGTGCTGGCCTCTGGGAACCCTTCAGAATATCAACACTTTGTATACCGAGAACCTAGGCACGGTTACCTTCTGATTCCAATGAACCCTTTCTAACAGTTTAGCAAGTTTGTTCATTTTCAGTTCCTTTTTGAAAACTTGAGTGAGAATAAAGAGATAATGAGAACAAGATAATAACTGAGCCCTGGTGAATGAAACTGCTATTCCATACTGACCCAGGTGTCATACAGGTAACTGAGGTAAACCCTGCCTGTGAGCACAGTCACCTGCAAAGCAGCCATCATGTGTGAGTGGGACGTCTCCGTCCTCTGAAATACTGATTCAGATTTTGAAACCCAGCTCTGCCGGGTTGCACTTGGTCAGTGTTTCAGTTTCTCCTTGTCCCTGTGTCCTCACAGTGCAATCTTCCTGAGAAGGGCCAGGGCTCATCGTTTTGTAGAAGAGATGGCACCTGCGATCAATTAAATATAATTAAAAGACTTTCCATTTTTAGTTTTATAACTGTTGTATTTATGAGTTTTACTCATAATTATCAAAGTTTTACTCATAAAGATAAAAGAATTATCAGTTTTCTTTCTATTAAAACAAGATAGACCAGCGCCTTGGTAGACTACTTACACAATATCAAATGATTAAATCTTTCCTATTGAGTGATTTTTATTTCTCTTTGAGGGGGGCACTGTTGATTGCTAGTAACCTTTTTTCAGTGTTGGGGATCATGCACATGAGGAGAACATTCTATCATTGAGTTACACCCACAGGCTGATTCTTTGATTAGAGTTTGAGAAAATTTATCTTAGAGACTCCTGGCCAAAAATTTCACTGGATAGCCCCTTCCGTCCTCACTGGAATGTACAAAGTGTGCCCTGTCTCTGCCTCCACCTTCCGATCTAACAATTGTGAAGTGTCTTTCTCTGTTAATTTTCCTCTATCTCTTGATAAAGAAACTTAATTCTGAATTCTCAACTGTGTTCAGTAAAAGCTAAAAAAAAAAAAAAAAAATGACTAAGGTGATGCCTCCAAACTGTTCTTTAGCTTCTTGAAATGTCTGACTGTAGTCAGTGTAACTAGAAAACTGAAGGACAGTATGATTGTGGTGACTTACTCACCCCATGATTTCACTGTTTCCTTATTTTTATTATTTAATCATTAACTGGAACTCTTTGGTGAGTGATGATGGAATCAATCCTAAGATAATGGATTAGCACAGTGTTTCAAGATCCAGGGAAAGTGAGATGACTTTAAATTCCTCCAGTTTGTCTTCCATTTTCAAAGAAATATTTAAGTATTTATTAAATAATATTAAATATTACTATTGAAATATAAGTAATTTTTTTTTGCTGGTCGGTAAAGGCACTAGCTGCCAAGCCTGTTTGCCTGAGTTTGATCCCTAGAACTTACATATTAGAAAGAGACAACAGACCCCCACAAGTTGTCCTCTGATCCCCACAAATGTATACATATACACATAGGCACAAAAATAAACAAATATAAAAAAGAATTTTTTAAAGTAATTTTCTATTTGATCTTTAGAAAACTTCCAATAAATACTCATACAATTCTTAGAAATGTACTTCATAGGAGAACTTAAAAACTAAGCTTGAATCAGCAGACAGTGGTGTTATTTGAAAGGATAAGGAATGGGACACTTGGAAGAACTCTTCAAAATCCTTTTCAAACGTAAGAAAAACATGCCTCGAATAAAATCTTAGACTAGTTTCAAAGTTCTAGAAGCTCTTTGATTTTGCTAACACGTGTGGCTTAAGACTTGCTTAACTCAGTAGCAGACTAGTTGGCACAGTTAAATCTTAATTCAGGAGCTGACTGTAATTAGGGAAATGCTTATTCCAGAGCCATCCAGGTTCTTTGAAGATTCCCTGAGTCTTCCAACAGAGAAACTGATAGGAGAGTCTTAGTGACCATCACTTTAACCTAGGTTGTTACCCCTATAGATAATGGCCAGAATATCAATACTGTTAGCCTTGGTGTAGGATTGTACACAAGATGCTCTATCTTTCTGTGTTTATGGTGGAGGGATACTCTAATTGTTTGGCATGTTCACTGAAGTTAAGATCCCTACTTTGTGTTTGGAAGAAGTAACTGTCATGAGAAGGTTAGGAGTGAGGCTGGACTTGATACTGTTTTGAATGTCTCTCAACACTTCAGATTCTACACGTCAGTACCAATAAGTGCATAGAACTGGTATTACCATGATTCATCCATACTGCTGAGCCACTGACAGGCTTCTGATTTCCCATATCTCATATCCCATCTTGTTGTGTCCTTCTGTAGATCTTTATTAACAATGAATGGCAGAACTCAGAGAGTGGGAAAGTGTTCCCTGTCTGCAATCCAGCCACAGGAGAGCAAGTGTGTGAAGTTCAAGAAGCAGACAAGGTATGTGCTGCTTAGAAGATTCCCTGTGGAATAACCACCAATAACAGTAAAACAATGCCTGTGTGTTCTAGATGCCACACTTAGACTCAAGCATCTCTTCTTTGATGACAGCAGATAGTTCTTGTGTACTGAGTGTCTCTTTTCAGTTGAGCCTCTTCCTCTTTAACAGGTGGATATAGACAAGGCAGTGCAGGCAGCCCGCCTGGCCTTCTCTCTTGGTTCAGTGTGGAGAAGGATGGACGCTTCTGAGAGAGGACGTCTGCTGGACAAGCTTGCAGACTTGGTGGAGCGGGACAGGGCAGTTCTTGCAGTAAGTAAACTAAGAAAGCAGTTACGTTTCTACTCCAAAATGACCGCTCAACTGGAACGTATTCTGTGGAGTGTTGTTGGGTAGGGGAGCTGGGGAAGTGAATAGTACGTATATGAAATATGAAAGATCTTTGGGGAAGCTCTTGGTGGCATTTTGAAGGGAAAAAAAGCCATAGCATTGCATCACTACTAAGGATCTTCCTTTCTCATTTTCTCTCATAAGCAAAGCAGAACACATCCACTTGACAAGCAAAACAAAAGCATCAAGAAACAGGACCTCCAGGCTGTTTGTAAAGGACAAATGCCAAGTGGCTTTTTGTAAATCAAATAGGAAAAGAAGGATGTGGACCCTCATGCATTCTACTCCATTTGTTTACTGTTTTCTCAGAATTATGAGAGAGGTTGCCATTTCTGTTCACTAGAACTATCACACACACTCCCAACAACACACACAGGAACTTCTTGTGATCTGGTGGTTTTGGTTGTTTTTGCTGTTGTTTTTAAAATAAAAGTTACCTTGAGGACTGGAATGTTGGCTTAGCAGTTAATAGTAAATACTGCTCTTCCGGAGGACCTGGGTTTGGTTCCCAGCACCCACATAGGGTAGCTCATAACTTCCTGAAATTCCAGTTCTAGGGAATCAGACCTCTGGCCTCCACAGGCATCTGTATTCATGTGCTCATGCGCCCTCACATACACTTTAAATAATACAAAGAAATATTTTTCTAAATAGCTAGTTTCTTTGAGAATGAAGACTTTCTGAAGCTAAGGACCATTTAGGAATGTAGGTAGTGTAAGTCAGGGATCCATCTTTGGATGGTCCTCAACTGGTTATGGGCGCCACTTTTTCTCTGTTTTATAGACCTTGGCTCTTTGTTAGCTAACTACTTTAGAAAATGTATTGTCTAATTTGTGGACATATAAATGTTCTTAGAAGGACTGGGAATTACTGGCTCTTTTATAAAAGTGAGCCAATGTAGAGTGACAAGTAGCACTTTAAAATGAGCTTTGTTTTGTGGACTAAGTAGGTAAATTGTGCTGTCAGTAATCGTATTATTTAACTTCATTGAATGGAAAATATTTCAGCTTTAACTTTTCCAGTAATTAAACAATTTTATACCCGTATGTGTTATATAATGCCCTATTACAGAGAAACATGAAATTATAAATATCCATTTTTGTTTATTCCATTTGTTAAACTTCTAACAGCCTAGTATGTCTCAAGTGCAAATAGTCTTACTTCATTGTTTCAGTGGTCATTGTTTTTGTAACAGACTTCATCAATTTAGGAACATGTCATTAAAATAATGTTTATAATGTAAAGCTGTTTATTATTGCTATTTTTATAAATGGACCAGATACTTTACTCTTAATAGATAATGGTTGTTAACATAAATGTTTACAAAAACCAGTCTTTAAATTGTTAAAGTCTGGGCTTCCCCAGAGGAGATCTTGTTTATTTGGTGGTAATAAATAAGCTTGCTATGCACCATGAATATTTCACTTCTCAGCAGGGGTCTTGGCAGCTGTGCAGAACATTTTATATCCGCGTTGAATGCACACAAAACCAACATCCCTGCTTCTCTTTGTGGATTCGAATTACTAGTGCACTCTCAGAAAGATCCCCGTTCCGCTCTGATCATTAATATAACAGAAGGTGGTTTGACAAGCAGAGCGTTTCTTTATCATCAGTTAAAGAAGCGTTGTGTTTATATATCTGGACAGTGGATAAGGAAAACACACAGGCACAAGAACAGCACGTGTATGTCCATTGTGGTCTTTTACTAGTAACTAAAGCAAGTCTGTTAGGACTGGACACCTTCCTGTTTGGGAAAGTGGAGTTGAACAAGTGGGCATCACCACTCATACCCAGCCAGGTTCCCTCTATTCCTTGTTTCTTCTTCTGTAGAATTAGAATCACTGCAGTGTATCACTACAAAGTTCTGAGGACTTAACGCTTCTCTATTTCTTTTCCTACAGACCATGGAATCCCTAAATGGTGGCAAACCATTCCTGCAAGCTTTTTACATCGATTTGCAGGGAGTCATCAAAACCCTGCGGTATTATGCAGGCTGGGCTGATAAAATTCATGGAATGACCATTCCTGTAGGTACGTGAAACTTGAGTATGTCAAAGAGGGCAATGTGGAGCTCTGCCGGAAATACTTCACCAAACACAAAGAGCAGCCATCCACAATGCAGATATGAGACACTTAGGGCAGCTTGAACTGAGCATAGGGCCAAACAGATTATGTCATGAACTCTGACAATGTCCCTCTTTTTGTGTATAGATATAAGTGTGGAGGGCCACTTAAATCGGTTTATCAGTCAGCTATCAGATAGCTATGCAGGATTAGCTGCTAAGAGCTAGCTTAGACCCTCAGGATGGAAGTGTTTGGAATGGAAGGGGATTCAGCAGAAGGGGATCTATTTTAGCTACTGGATGGAAGAAATTTTATAGGAAAGAGACCAAATAACATGAGGACCCACCTCATGGTTGTCAGTCTAATACCAGGGGACTCCTGAGGGGAGATTGGGTAAGAGAGGTCATTAATTACTTAGATATTTATTCTCAGATTAGTTCAGCCCATTCACATTTGTCCTTTGCAACACCATAATTCAATATCAATTTGACTTCATTGTTGATTTTTACATAGTGAAGTCCACAATTTAGGAAGGTCGTGTGGTCTTTATGTGTTACCTGATTTTTATCTGCAAAACATCCCCAGTTTTTGTTTGGCCTTATAACATAAGAAATAAATTCTTAAGCCGGGCGGTGGTGGAGCACGCCTTTAATCCCAACACTTGGGAGGCAGAGGCAGGCGGATCTTTGTGAGTTCGAGGCCAGCCTGGTTTACAGAGCAAGATCCAGGAAAGGCGCAAAGCTACACAGAGAAACCTTGTCTTGAAAAAGAAAAGAAAAGAAATAAATTCTTTTACATTTAGGATATGATAACTCTGTGCAGTCCTGTAAAACAAACTGGAATTAAAGAGTGTATGCCTAATGAGATATTAAGAACTTAGTGTCTCAACAAGGTCACTTGACTAGTAAATGTGTTAAGAATTACGGCATTGTTTTGTATATATTGACTATAGATGGGCCATCGGGTGTAGAGAACAAATATCTACCTTGTTTATCTTCTTGAAGGACAAACACCCTTTTGCTAGAAGGCTTTGGGAAGGGGAGAAGAGATCATGTTTCAACCAGGTGCCATTCCTCTGACTTGGGAGTTGTGCCCACCACCCTCTAGTCCGTCTCACTCAAGACCCATTATTAGCTGCTGTTGCAGAATTATGCAATATCAGTTTGATTCCAAAGGGCTCTGATGCTATTTTCTTTATAACACTATCCATTATTCCCTGGCCTAGCACTCAGTGGAGCCATTCTCTCTGACCATAAATCCTGTGCTTTAACCCTCCTGTGGCAACTCCTACTTAGGATGATTAATAATAATCATTACTTCGATTTATTGGATACTTTTCCTTGCTCATTTTTTATCTCTTCTGTTGTAACAGCCCTGAGAAGTATAATTTCCTCCTTTTTGATCTTTTTCACTCAAATCAAGAGTCCCTGTTCCTTTTCTGCCCATACTTCCCTGTGATGGAAGACGAATCAGACTTCTTTACAGTTTGCTAAGAGTGAAAGAAAGAGGAGCTGTGGTGCCCTAATTTCCTCGGAATGAGTGTTGATTTTATTGATTTCATAGTAAGTAGGAAAATGGGATCCATACTTTAAGCTGAATTTTGTTATAAAATGGCTTTATGATGTGTCAACATACAGCACATACAGCGAAGGTTTAAAAACTGCCTGGGTTGTATAGTTATTTATGTTTCATCTTTACTCCAGTTTTACCTGCTAAACTGACGAATGAGCCAAAAATGCAGATAATGATCAGACCCTGAGCTTTTGCCTTCAGTCAGCTCGGTCTGGTACTGTCGATAGTGAGTGCATGGGTGAAATCTGAAATTCTGGTTAATCATAATGAGAGTGAGGGCTGTTTGCTGTAGTCACTTGATAAAAAAAGGGGGTAGCTGAGTGGATGGTGACAGGAAGCAGTGAAGTCAGCCCTTCACAAGGAACCTCTTGAAGACATTGCAGAGAACCTAAGGGATCCGTAAGTCTGATCTCATTTTATAGACACAGGAACCAATTACAGAAGAGTAAACTAACTTTTTTTCAAGGCTGTGTACTGAAATGGTGATAGAGCTGAGACCTATTAATGGAAGACTCAGGAGCATGTAATTCACTTCTTAGAATCTACTGTAGATTCCTGGGAGGAATAGTGTTAGTGCCACTTCATGCTAAGGTCAAGTTTCGTTGATTGAATAAGAACCCACAGAATTTGTCACTATTGAGAAGTGCTCAGACAGGTCTGCATGGTGTCTACATACACTGGAATCTACTAGAATACAGAATGGAAACGTTCTATATAGTTTTGGATCTAAATGTTTAATACTCGGCTTATTTAAAGGGTTGCTGTTTCCTCCAGAGTAATTCTAATACAGTCAAATGCCCTACCCTTGAGCTATACCACCAAACCCAGAGTAGTTCTGTGTGAACGTTAGAGATGGGAAGATGGTGTCCATTCACTGAATTATGTATAAATTCTCATGTTACTGAAAGAACTCATTTTATTGTTACTGGGTATAGAAGACTTGCTACAGCTATTGAAATGCCCATGGTTGTTATCACCATGAGCTTGAGGTTCGTATCACATATCTCAATTTCTGACACATTAAGTTTTTTTTTTTACTATAATTACATCATTAGACTTTATGTCCAGGATGTGCCAGAATATGAGAATAAAAGCTACATTAAATTTTTTTTTTTTTGGTTTTTCGAGACAGGGTTTCTCTGTGTAGCTTTGCGCCTTTCCTGGATCTCGCTCTGTAGACCAGGCTGGCCTTGAACTCACAAAGATCCGCCTGCCTCTGCCTCCCAAGTGCTGGGATTAAAGGCATGCGCCACCACCGCCCGGCTACATTAAAAATTTTTAAAGCATTTCTAGTCTCTGCCTTTAAAAGTAATGTTTGCCTTGAAGTAATTACCCAAATATTTAAACTTTTAATTATCTAAATATTAATATCTCTCTCTGTCTCCATCCCTCTGTCTGTCTGTCTCTCACATCTCTGTGTAACTTTATTAAATCCCCAACAAAGGACATAGGGAGTGGCTCAGTTTTTCACAAATATCAAATAGATTTATTCTGTACTCTCCTCTAGGACAGAGGCTTTTCCTAATGTGCCTACTGTGTGTACAAACCCAGCAGACATGAATGCACTGCTCAGCCAAATTCAGAGCGCAATGGGATATCCAATTGTAAGACTCTTACATTCTTCGTGACCCGAGGGTTCAGAATGGATCACCAAGATCACTGGGTGCTTTGTTTGAGCATTGAAGTGTGAGAGGCACCACGTAGCATCTAGAGAACATGGGTAGCTTGCAAAACTAGTTCTATACAGTAGTAAGTGAGTAGACATATTTTATTTTAATTCTTAGATTTAACAAATATGAGAAGAAAAATGTTACAAACCTTTGAAACGTGTCCTTGGTAATTTTCCTTGAAATGAGGCCAGCGAGTAGCTCTGTGTGCATTGTTAAGGAGTGAACCACCTGGCAGATGAAGCAAGTGACAGAGCTAGTGACACTGGAAGATTAGGATGGTGGCTCTCAAAGGACTGGCCCTGGTGACAGGATATAGAAGCTCGGGGGACTTGTAGTAGGGTCCTGAGAGCTAGGAAGGGCCTCTAGTCACTAGTCCTCCCCAGGGGGCCCAATAGAAGGTTCATCTCTCATGTTTTCCAGAAATCACCCAATTGGGGGTGTCCCTTGGACATATAGAAGCACCCATTGAGTTCACAGAACCCAGGGCCTTTCCTTTATTCTTTCCACTCAGTGTTCTCTTGAGAAAAGTTCAAGAGCCAAGATACCCTGTGTTTCTTTGCTTAGCACTTAGTGAAACCAGCTGTGAGGACTGGGAGAGTCAGTACCCTTTCTGTGCCAGCCTTTAGCTCCATGTGTATCAAATCTATGAACAGATTGTCAAGCACATTTTATTCTCCATAACTCAGTCTCTTAGGACACAATTATCAAGTCAGGTTTACTCCCCACAAGATCAGCCTCTAAAGCTGTTGTCTACTCGTCTTTCCTTGCTTTCATTTTTCAGTAGTTTTCAACATTACGTGATACCTTTACAATCTTGCATATGCAGGACAGAGATGGAGGAACCTGTGAATCACTGCGTTGTACTTACGTGGGTGACTAGAGAATTTGCTCTGAACCGTCCATTTCCTCCAGTTGTACTGAAGTAAACACTGTGTTCTTCAATTCATCTTCCCTTTACTTCCTGCAGCCATCTGTCCTCATCTCAATGACCGACCCACCTCCAACTCAGTGCTTTGAATTGGGCCACTTGAGTGCATCACCTTAGCTAAATCAGAGTGTAGTGTGGGAGCTTTTCTTGCCAATGGAATTTTATAGAGTATCCATCAGGGTTGATGCTCCTCAGGGAAGCCCTTGCCATAGAGTGATAAACTGATGGACAGCAGTGACTTCTGCTGGCACAGCTGATGGTATCTATTCTGACGATTTGTGAGTTGTCTCCTTACAGAATCGGTGTAGTTTAGTTGGTTGTTTTGTTTGTTGTTCTTTGTTTTTTGAGACTGGGTTTCTCTGTGTAACAGCACTGGCTGTACTGGAACTCACTCTGTAGACCAGACTGGCCTTGAACTCACAGAGATCGGCTTGCCTCTGCCTCCCGAGTGCTAGGATTGAAGGCGTGCACCACCGCCGCCCAGCAGGTTAGTTGATCTTGGTTGATTAGTACCGCTTGGACTAAATAGTGTCATCCTCTGAGTAGTTTCTACATATCAGCTCCCTGTCCCACCTGCTCAGAGCCTGCTCTCCTTCTCTCCTCCGTTTAAGCTAGTGTCTGTTAGACAAGCCCGAAAGACACGGTGAAGATTGGGGGAAGTTTGGCAATAACATGGCAGTGACCTAATCCCCTTGATCGTCACAGTGTTCCTCAAACAACCAAAATAACGAAGGACCCAACAGAAAAGGGGCAAAGGTTTTAAATCAGAAGGAAAAATTGAAAATGGTTAGTACATTTATCCTTAAATATCATTAAACACGATTCAAAATCAAACACAAAACAAGTTGCCATTTCCCAGCTTTCATATTGGCTAAAATTCAGATATTCAGAAAACTGATAAAAGAGTAGAAACCGTAGCATGTTGTTAGAACTTTTTATAAATTTTTCTATACAAGATGAGTTGGCAAACATTTATGAAAACATGAAAGACACATACAATTTAATCAAGAAATCCCAAAGATATACTAAGGTATGTCAAGTGTTATCCTTTGCGTTGTCTGCAGCAGTGTGAGCGAAGAGGTCACCTAGTACTGTTACTGAGCATGGGGACGTGAGAAGGCCGGGAGGGGTGGAGCTTGATTACACCTGTGGTGAGAGCCTGCCACATCAACGTCCTGCAGAGAAAGCCTTGGAGAAATGAAGGCAATAGATAGCAGCTAATTTAGAGAAGGACTAGAGATGGGGGGCGGGGAGGTGAGAAGTGGGGAAGAGAAAGAGAAAGAGGAGCAGAGAGACTTTATTTCAAAACCATAATTTTGAACTTAGACGAAACAACCCTGGGTGATAAACATCAGTGGTTAAGATGTGTTGAGAGACAAAGATTAACAGCTTAATGAGTCATTTGTCACTGTCTCCCCCACGCCCTCCGGTCCCCACCTTCACCCTCAGTGCCAGTGGTGAGGCTTCTCTGAGTATTAGCTGGAGCTTCACTTTCCTTGGGGCTTGGGGGTGCTGCTTTCAGTCAAGTAACCAGAGTCCATCAGCAGAAGGGAAACAAAGACTTGGTCCAACAAGCTTTTTAAAGTACCCAGAAAAAAAGCAACAGCATTTTTCTAAAGAATTTGATTTGGGCTTCCTAGATCATTGTTGGAAGTCCCTACTATTCCTACAAGATACTCAAGGCTGGTCAATATTTCTTGAGCTTTTCCTCTGAGCCCCTAGGGATTCAAAGGCACCCTCTTGTCATACCTCACTGAGGTGGAACTTTGGACCTGCCCGCGTCCCCAAGACTCAGGTTGTGCCTGTGGCAACTGCATTGAGTGAGGGAATATATCTTATTTTTCTTCCTCACGTTTTTCCAGCTGCCCAGCATAAAAAATGTGCTCACTAGCATTTCACTATTAGTGGCTTTTAATTTTGAAAAATACCCAGTGAGCTGTTTAAAAACTTGAGGTACTTGAGCATTTAAATCAGCTAACTATTCTATTTGAGTTACTATTGAACATAAAATTGAGTTTTTAACGTGTTCCAGTTTTAAGTTTCCTCTTTTAATCCTGCTTTGTGTATCATAAGCTTGTCCTCCATCTTGTCGTAGATGTCCTCTCCTCTGGCATCCTGTCCACGTGGTAGGTTTGTCTGTAGCCACCCCCACATGAACACATGCCAGGTGCCAGCTTGGGTGCACGGTAACTAGGATGCGCTTCAACTTTATTTCTGGTTCAAGGCCACCCGAGTCCTCCCTCTGAATTCCCCCTGACCTAACCCGTTTTGTGGAGTGATTGCGCTTCTTGTTTTCCAGATGGAGACTATTTTACTTTCACGAGACACGAACCCATTGGAGTGTGCGGACAGATCATCCCAGTGAGTGTATCTTCTCACACTTCGTATTTATTTTCACTTGACCCAGTTCTCTTCAAGACACATGAAACATGGTCCTTGGTGATGTGTGTTTTCCATTACTGGGAAGAAAAACTTGAGCTCATGTTGTTGACATGTCTCTAACAGCCTCCCAGTAAATGCTTATTTGAACAGGTGAATAGAGTTTCAGGCCTATTACCATGAGTTGAGTTCGCAAGTCACGAAATTCTCCTGATAAAAATAAGCAAAGCAAAGTACGTGTATGAATAACCCACCCTTGATTATGAATGTCTGTCTGCTTATGGGAAATTAATATGTGGTTGTATTTGCTTGTTTGTGTTTTAGATTGGCAACTCATCTTTCCAGCATATTGTTTTATATGGTCTCTTAATCCCTTTCTTCCCACTGTCTGTTTTCACAAGACTCTAGAGAGAAGATGCTTCAGAAGACACAGCAGTACAGTTAACATCATAGTCAAAACTGAAACCGTTCCCCGCTGTTTTCTATCTTGTAAAGAAAAATAGATGTAGTGACTAGTGTTTGGATTGGAACATTAAACACTGTTCTTCGCTCTCTCCCATACACACCCTTGGCACAATACAAAGAGTCACTCAAGCTTCTAACAGTACTATCTCATAGTTCTGGCTGGGATTTCAGCAGGGAGGGGGGCGGGGTGCTGACATCAAACTCCAGTATAGATAAGACAAGAAGTTTTCTCTTGCAAAACATAGAGGAATGACTCAAGAATAATCTTTGAGTTTGGGACCAAAGATTCTTAGGGGCTTATTAATATTAGTTCAATTAGTAAGCGCTGGTTTATTTGTGACCTTCATTAGAGAATGAAGAAAGGAAAGAGAAAGGTTTGGTTGAAGTTCTTCCTCTCCTCCCCGCCCCTTACCGTGGTTGCTACCTTTTCTGTAAGCATCAAACCTGCCCCTCTTGCCCTTCTCAGATCCTCAGAACCACAGCTTCCCTCACAAGGCAAGAGCGCCTGTCAACCCCTCCCTCAGTTACTGCCTCCAAGATTTACACACTGTAGATGGAATTAAAACATCACCAAAGACTCCTAAGTTTATAAACAACTAAGGGGGAAAGAAATTGGGTGTTTGGTGAAGGCAAGACACTTGTATATTTTTGCAGCTTGCTAGAGCCAGTGAGAACCCTTCAAGGATGGCAGCTGAGGTGCCTCAGACACCGACACAGTGTGGTCAGGGGCTGAGGCCAGGGGACCAGGAGTGCTGTTTCCTTCCTTACTGAAATTATCAATGACACTTGATAGTAAGGAGTCCAGGCCCGATCTTATGACCACACAAGCCTACTATTCTACTAAAGTCAATTTAAACCGTGTTAATCCCCACGTTCATATATTCATAAAGATGCTTTAGTTTGGTTTCCATGGTGTTTTTTGCAGTAGGGAGGAGGCTGATAAAATTTTTGTATACTCATTGATAGGTACATTTTTATACAATTTACAGTTGTACGTTTTATGACAATACATGCAAACATGCCACATTGAAATTCACATTGTCTTAATGGTAATTGATAGCTAGGATTTTAGTTTCTTGTTCATATACATAAAACATTTTTCATGCCAATGTGAAAATCTTGGTGTAAAAATCCTAAATTTAAGGGGGAAAAAAATCACATATTGAAACTTTGGAGCAAAGCCCAATTTTAGAAATATGTAAACAAAATAAAAAGTAAAGCTAAACAAAAATTAAAAATGACTCCCTACCCCCTTTCAGCAGGAGCTTTCTTTAGGTGGATGGTGGACGTGTAATGCGTTGACCAGAGAGAGAGAGAGATTTTCAAGGCCAGTGCTGTTATCCTCTTCAGAGTGATGTCATCAGAATCCCAAAGGTCTACACTTGGCAGTAGAGAAGATTTATGTTCAGGACAATTTTCAAAATCTGACAAACTGACAAGTCACAGCTTGAAAAAAAAAAAAGTCATGGAGAAAGTTCCCCCGTCTATTAACTTCGCTCTTCCCTTCCAGTGGAACTTTCCCCTGCTGATGTTCACCTGGAAAATCGCTCCCGCACTGTGCTGTGGCAACACAGTGGTTATCAAGCCGGCAGAGCAGACACCACTCAGCGCACTGTACATGGGAGCCCTCATCAAGGAGGTAGGCAAAACAGACAGCAGGGGGCTGCCTCGCCTCCTTCATGTGGAACCTGTGAAGCAGAGCCCAGCCAGCCTGAAAGGGGATGTTCACACGCACCATCCTCCAATTTGTGTTTCTTAGGCTGGCTTTCCACCCGGAGTCGTCAATATTCTGCCAGGGTATGGACCAACAGCAGGGGCAGCAATAGCTTCTCATATTGGCATAGACAAGATTGCGTTCACAGGCTCTACTGAGGTAAGTACCTGAGAGACCACGGGCTGAGGGACAGTCCCATGAATGAGTAAAGGGGATTGCTGGAAACGCAGGTGTAGGGGTGCACATTTTTAATCTCAGCACTGGAGAGGCAGAGATGGCAGATCTCTGAGACTGCTTGCCAGCCATCCTGGGCTACTTGGCAAGTTTAAGGGGAGGGAAGGGTCTCTGCCTCAAAAAAAAAAAAAGGGGGGCAATTGCTTCTGAGGAATGACAGACACTTGAAGTTGTCCTCTGGTACACATGCACATGCACATACATATACACAATCAATACATAAATAAATGCTGCAAATAGCAGCCATAGGCTCGACACCCACAGTGAGTCCCCAGGCCCCCGAAGGGGCGCCATCAGTCTCATTTGTAGAGCACTGAGTGTGAAAGCAGAGGTACACACTGACTCTATGTGATTCTGTCTGTGTAAAAACTACCTCAGAGGCTGGGGCTCTGGACACTTTTAGTCAAGAATATAGGACAGAAGCAAGTAAAGAAGCTGGAAATCCGAACTGGTGTGTAGTGGAGATTCCAGGGTCTGCTTTCCCCTTCTCTCCATTTCCCCAGGTTCTGTAGGTACAAGTGTCTTATAAGCCCTAGGGTGCTACAGGGCAGAGGTCGTCAAAGCTTTCTGTGAAAGGCCAGATACTAAGTGCTGGAGACTGTGCAAGCAATAAGATCTCTATTGCATTACTCCACTGTGCCCAGCTGGTGCCGAGCATGCGTGATATATATACTAATGAGTGAGGCTGTGTGCAAGTAAAACTTTTTTCATAGATGCTGAAATTTGAATTCTATGCCATTTTTTGTACATCAAAAAAAATCTTATTTTTTTTTCCAGATAGTGAAAAATGTAAAGACTGTTTTTCTCTAGAAAGTCATATCAAAAACAGCAAGGCCAATACGAGTGGTGGTTTACAGACTCCTGATTGTCACAAATCTGCTGTTCCGTCATGTCTGTGATTCGGGTTCAGATGATATAAGAGTTTTCAAATGTCATTAGAGACTAGATGCTGAAGAGTGCCTAATAGGATCAAACCAGATAACGGAACTGGAAGTGTTGTTCTCATTCCCTTTCTGTGAGCTCGCACTGCTCCAGAGCTACGGGGACCCTTGCTGGAGCCCCCTGGGTTACAGCAGCACAGAATGTAGGATACCCTCAGCTCTACAGCAGTGCAGCCTAGTAGGAGGAATGAGAGCTGTGTCTGCCAACTAGAGTAGGAGATGGAAAGGAAACAAATGAAATCGGGTTTAGTAACAGATTTAACACCATGTTTATAAAGCATTATTTCAGCCTGTCACTGTAGAATTGGTAACTCCATATTTGACGTTCTCTTTTTCCTATGTAGTCTTTGAGATCTGGTGGATGATTTACATTAATAGCACAACTTAGTGCCATTATCCATGTTGCAAGGGATCCATAGCCACATGTGGTTGGTGGCCCGCATACCTGACAGCAGCTCTAGAAGCTTCCTAGAGTCAGGTGATGCAAAGTTAATGATATTTAGTTAAATGGACTCTTATTGATTTTGTATAAGATTAATAGACTTCGATGACAATTTACAGTTAAAAATGATTGAATTTTGTATTTGTTGAGAGTTTAAATCCTCTGTTTCCAACCTTTAATTTGACTTGTACTTGCTATCATAATCTTGCAGTGTATGAAACATACAAACCCAAGTGTGGACGTGAAGGGAAGTGTTCTTCCTGGATGCGCTCAGTTTGCTGCTTTAGAAGTATTTGCTAAAGACTGGATGCTGAAGAGCACCTGCATCCCATTAGGACCAGACTAGAAAGTAACATCTACAAAGCAAGCCATTGGAAAGAATCCTGAATTAAAGACTGAGGCAAAAATATAGGCAGCCTTTAAACAGAATCACAAGAAACCTACATCTTTATCTCATATGACTATGGTTGACAAAAATCTTGAATAAAATACATCCAAACAGAATTAACAGTATCTACAAAGGATTATATACCACAACCAAATAGAAATTTATCCAGGAATGAAAGGTTGGTTTAATATAGAGAAACAATCAATTTAATACTCCGTATTAGTAGAATAAAAGACTAAAGCTACACAATCATCTCAATAGACATAAAAAAGCACCTGACAAAATCTGCCCAATACAGAAACTTATACACAACTGTTTATAACATTATTCCTCAAAGTAGAGACAACCCAAATGTCTATCAAATGATGAGTTGACAAAATGTAATAAAGCCACCGATGATATATTATTCAATAATTTAAAAGGGAAAGAAATATATATAACATGAGTCAACTGTGTAGACATGGAACTTAAAGAATTTGGTAATGCCAGGCTATGTATTTTATGATCATACTTAATTGAGAAGTGTCTAGAAGGGGCAAATGTACAGACTCAAAGCAGATTAGTGATTTTTAGGGGCTAAGATGAGTGACTGTGAATGGACATGAAGTTTCTTGTGGCTTTGTTATAATGTCCTGTATTTAGATAACTGTTATCATTGTGGGAGTTGCAGAGTTCTGTTAATAAACTAAAATGCCTGAATCACATACATCAAAAGGAATGTCCTATAGGGTATGAAAGAATCTCAATAAAGCTGTAGAAAATGGATGATTCTGATGTAGGCTTTGAACTTTGGATATTAACAGTCAACACTGGTTGGGCAAATACTTCTTAATGCCAGCCAAGTACTGGTCATCCTACCACATCACCTCAGCAGCTGAAGAAGGTGCAGGGGTAAGCTAAGCCCAGCCGGGAGGTTAAGTTACTCGCCCTGCTGCATGCTAGTACGTTACAAGGCTGTAGGCCATACCCAGAGTCCCTGCGGCAGACAGTACTGCACCCCTTTCTGACTGCAGGCTTGTACAGGCCTGTAGCAGGCAGGCTTCCTTGAACTCTGGGATAGCATCGCAAAGAGGGTATTTATTTCTTCATTTATTCTTTGCTGTTGTTGTTTGAAATAGTCTTCCTCTGCATTCTGCAGGCCAGGCTGGCCTCAAACTTATGACAGTCCTACAGCCCTAGGCTAGAAAATTCAAGGCATACAGATGTGAACCACGATGCCCAGCTCTCAAAAAACACAGTTTTTAGATGATGCAAATTCTTCAGTGGAAAACTATTTCATTGCAAGAAGCATTTAAAAGTATTTATTTCTGAAAGGCTTTCACCAGTGTTCCAATTCATTTTTTTCTAAAACTCAAATTAGGATTGCATCTTCAGTACCTCCGTTGTTTGATCTGGGACAGGTCATTTATCTACCACTTTCTGACACAGGAATTAAAGTTCGATCCCCAGCTATTTTAAGTTGTTTCACTAACCTTTACTGAGGACCAAGTTACCATATACTGTTGGGATTTGGGGATGCACCAGTGAAACATGCATGTCAAGGTAGCCTACAGGACAGTCTCTGAGCAGCTCTTAGAGTGGTGTGCAAGCACACAGGAGGAGATGACATCAGACTGTTTCCTTTAAAATTTCCTGCTTTTAAAGATGCATTCTAATAGAATAGAACCCAAAATTTCCTTGTGAATTTACCTTGTATCTTGGGCATCTAGAGAAATTTCACTCTTCAAGATATTTAAACTTGAATAAAAAGTTACTTCATTAAAAAATAAAACGTGCTTTTTAAAAATAACATCATTTCCCCTCCCTTATTTTTTGAGATGGATTCTTTTTCAAAAATATTTATTTCTTTTTATATGTATGAATATTTGTCTGCATGTATTTATGTGCATCACAAGCATGCAGTGCTCACAGAGGCCAAAAGAGGGCATCATAATCCCAGAACTGGAGTTATAGATGATTGTGAGTCACTATATGGGTGTTGGGAACCAAATCCAGGTCCTCTGCAAGAGCAGCCAGTGCTCGTAGTCATTGAATTGAGCCATTCTCCAAAAAGGAAAACAAATGTTTAAGGAAATGATAATTCTGCCTCTTAATTCTGTTGTGGTTATCTCAGCTGGGAAGGATTTGGATCTACCTTCCTTTTAATCTTACCACTGAAGAAAATGAAACTGCAGGTTATAGGAACCAAATTGTGAAGAGACCATGGAGGAAAGGACCCCAGCTGTGGAGACCCCTGTGAGCAATGTGTTGCTTGACATTAGTGTGCAATCAGTGATGCTGGTGTTAGTCATGTCTCAGAATCAATACCACATGCCAGGACCAGGACCTTCTGAAAGGTCAGTGCATACTTTTCTGCAATGCACAATGGAAGGTTAGCTTTTGATGCATCCTGGCAAGAACATGCAGGTATTTTTTTGTTTTTGTTTTTTGTTTTTCATCTTTCCAATAGTTCTACTTTTGTCAGACATTTAAAATTCCAAAACTTCAGATTATATACCAATCCAGTACCCATTCTGCAAAGTTTCTTCAAAATGATGTGGAAAGGATGGGGAAGGGAGCCAAACACAACCTTAAAACTGACCACACCTGGTGGGACCTCCTGAGCAGTCAGTATATGTTCGATTTCCTAATGTCATCCACAGTTGATGGTCTAGCCTGCACCAGATCTCATCACCCAGTGACTGGTGAACTTGGGACCTCCTTGTTCTTGCTGGGTTACTTCATCTTTAAAGAGTATAGAGTATGTGAGAGTAGATAAGTGATGAGATTTTTCTCTGTCACTGTTTCCCTCAAATCATCATCCTGGTCCTTGGCTTATGGTACTCCGCCACATTAGACCACATTAGTTTCCATCAGCAAAACTATGCAGTGATATAACAAGCAAAGATCATGTCTGAGTTGAACAATTCACAATCAGCTGAATTAGCACTGTGGTAAGCAAAAACTCTCCTAGAATTCTATATTCACTTAGGAAGTTAATCTATTTCAGCTCGAGTTAATATCCCTTGATCTTTTACTTAGAAAATAAAGTACTACAAGAACACTATCAATGCACTGTACTTTGCCTCACTCTGGAAAGCAGTAGATAAAGCTGTACTTTTTCGGGAAGAAATTCAAACAGAGGGTTCAAATTACACTAAGAAGAGCAATTAAG